ATCAATATAAAATTATTAAGATATTTTACATTCTTTATTGTGTATTAGAAATCTAGAGTGCATTTTACTCTTAAAGCACATCTCAATTCAGATACTAAATTTTTTTCTTTTTTTTTTGGTACCGGGGATTGAACTCGGGTCCTTGCGCTTGCGAGGCAGGCGGCAGAACCACTGAGCTAAATCCCCGGCCCTCTAAATTTTTATCAGAAGAATTTAACTTATATTTTTATTTCATAGAGTGTATGAGTGAAAAAGTAGTTTAAAACATGTCTGAAACTCCTCTAATTTTTTTTTTTTGGTGCCGGGGATCAAACTCAGGACCTTGTGGTTGCAAGGCAGGCACAGTGCCACAGAGCTAAATCCCCAGCCCAAAACTTCTCAAATAAAGCAATCAATTTTTCATTTAGTTTGTTTTCTTTTTTCCTTTTTGGCTTTTTGAGACAGGGTTTCACTCTGTGATCCAGGCTGGCCTAGAATTCACTATGTAGCCCAGGATGGCCTCAAACTCGTGGTGAACCTCCTGCCTCAGCCTCCTGAGTGCTAGGATTACAGGTGGATACCACCATGCCTGGCTCTCAGTTCTTCATTTGCACTGACACCTGTCTTCAAGCAATCATCTGCACATGAGCTCTGGCTGCCATACAGGACCACACAGCAGGAGGATAAGGTCCATAATCTGGATAATCAGGGTTTCTGAGGTCTAAAATGAGCCAAGGGTCCCACAAGCAAAGCTCACACAAATTCAGATTTAGAGATTGTTTTTTCTGGAGAATTACCAAAAAATCAATCAGGCTGGCAAGGCACAAATATACCTGGGCTAAAATTAAAAATTAACAGATATCCCACAAAACAACAGAAGTTCTGTGAAAGTAAGCTTTATTCATTTTAACTACACTATTATTTTAATAAAATTACTGTTAACATGATTATCCTGAGGGCGGGATCAAATTTGCAAATATTATTAATAAGTAACAACCTTTCCACAGATCACAAAGATGGAATTAAAGGCCTTACGGCTTCACATTTAAGCCTTATCTGAATCTGAAAATAGAAGGTAGAATAATTAAACTCCGTACTGGAAACCCTCCCTGATTAATTTTTTATTGCTGGAAAAAATGAAAATGTAAAATGTCATCTTAGAATTGGGATCATACCTGGGTACTGTCGAATAGTGGACACAGAACTGGTGATTGGGGTGTAGGTGTGTGCAGCCAGGGGGTATGCAGAGGGTGGGTAAGTTGGCAAAAAGTACTGAAACTGCACAGGAACAGATGGTCTAGGGATAGAGCACACAACACAGGAAACAAAGTGGTTATTTACTTTTTTACCTTCCAATGATCCTCTCACCTAGATTTGATACCCTTTATAATTAGCATACCAGCTTCTCCCAAACTGTGCCCCAACTTCTTAGGTCAAGGGACATATACCTAGAGGGTATAAGCATTTACAAAATAAGTTACTGAAAATACTTAAGTCAATAAATGTAGCTTAATATTTTATGGGTGATTTTTGAGAATAACAATGAGCAAAAGCGACTCACAAATTCAGTAATCAAGAATATTTCCTGCTCATTCCCACTTGTAAGACAGAATGTTTTTATTGGCAAATTTTATCAAACATATATAAAACAGATAACCCCAATCTCATACAAACTGATTCAGAGACCACAAAAAGAAATGAGATCCAACTTATTTTTTGAGCTCTATGCAGTCTTGACATGATAACTGGACAAAGAGAGTAAAGATTACAAATGGATCTAGCTCTCTACAATGACACAAAAATTCCTAAGTAAAACAAATCTCTTATAAAATTAAATACATAATGATCAAATAAGGTTTATCATGGGAAGACAAGGTAGATGGGCCCAAAGTCAATACAAAAGCTATAAACATCCCTATATATAATAATCAAATAGGAATGTTTAAAAATTATCCAATTCTGAAACAACTTTATGTACAAGGTACTGGATTCTCACTGGGAGAGGAGACAGAAACATAAAATGGGGAAAGGAATAAGGTGGAACTAGAGCTATCAGCATGTATTCAAATGTTTGAAAAATCTCACCTACTTCCTACCTCTGCTTGTTGAAGGACCCAGAGAAGTAATAATCCAAAGCAAAAGACCTAATACCTAGATGTTGGCTTCTAAATCATTAAAAGGCTCCTTGGGAAAAGCAGCAGATTCTAGTACTCAGTAAGATCTGCAGTTATCAGAAGATCTAGACTGGAGGGGACATGGTAAACCCACAGTAGTAATTTGAAGGGGCACCCAAAAGCCAAACTAGAGACCATTTGAATACCAAAGTAAATGACATTAATGGATTATACTAATGAACAAAACCAAATCCTTATATCCAGAATGTTTTAAAAAAATATTCAAAGTAAAAAATGTGGATAAGAAAAAGTTAATTCATATCAGCATGCCAACTTATAAATGTGGAAGAAATAACAGAAAAAGTCACTATTTTGCAACTATCAATAATTCAGCCAAGAATCACTGATACTAAAATTGAGTATAAGTTTATTGAAGAACAGGATTTTTATAGTCTCAAAGTTTTTCCATAAAGAATATTTGTTTGCAAAGGAGAAAAATATGCCTTTACAGTAAGAAAAAATGGCAGAGATCACCTTCATTAAGTAATTAATATAACCAATACTAGGGCAAATGGATAATGTGAACTCTCTGATATAACATCAGGGAGAACATATCACTTAAGTGAGCTTTACAAAAATGTGTAAATTGAATCTAACCATAAGGAAACATGTGACAAAATCAAATCAAGAATCTGTTTTTTGGCGGGGGGGACCGGGGACCGAACTCAGGTCCTTGCACTTGCGCAGCAGGCGGCAAAACCACTGAGCTAAATCGCCGGCCCAAAAGCGAACTCTTTTTTTTTTCTGGTACCAGGGATCAAACTTGGGGCCATGCACTTGCGAGGCAGGTGGCAGAACCACTGAGCTAAATCCCTGGCCCGACAAAACCAAATCAAAGAATATTTTACCAAACAACTGGTATACACATATTCTTTTTTTTTTTTAAGATACTGGGATCAAACCTGGGCCTTCACAGTTAGCTACAATCACCAGGCCTTTTTGAGACAGGGTCTTGCTAAGTGGCTAAGTTGCCTAGGGTGGGCTGGAACTTGCAATTCTTGTTTCAGCCTCCCAGAGTCCTGGGATTATAGGCATATACCACCATGCCCAGCTTGACCTAAGTATACTCCTTAAAAAATGTCAATATATGAAATAGAAGATAAAGTATTGCTTCAGGTATCTGTAACTGTGGTCAAGAAAGAGAATATACTGCTCTGAGGTATTGCAAATGGAGGTACTTATAGGTAAAGGTTATGATGCCTCAAACCTGACTTGCTTTTTTTTTTTTCCAGTACAGGGGATCAAACTCAGGACCTTGAGCTTTCGAGGCAGGCACGGTGCCACTGAGCTAAATTCCTGGCCCAACCCTGACTTTCAAATGGCTCAAGATAAAGAAAACAAAAATGAATCAGGATAACATCCGTTCAAAGGAGAATGGCTTAACAAATAAAGCACAGTTCCTTAAAACAGAAATTATCCATATTTGTAGGACATTTTGTTTTCTTGAAAATTCCAAACAATTAATAACACATTGATACAGGGTAAATTGGTACACTGACTACTACCTGTTGTCATTTCGTGTTTCCATGGCCACAGGATTTGGAGAGGCCCGGTGTCCTGAAATGGGAATCAGGCTACTTCTCTCTGCAGAATAATCAGGCTGGATCCTTGGAGAAGTGTGTGTGATCTGCTGAGGCACCACCTTAGCTACAAACATCGAAGTCCATTACATTAACAATCACATGTTTTTACTGACATGCCAAAACATTCTTGGCTAACAGCAATTTCACAAATGCAAACAAGTTATATGCCTAGAGTTTTAGATTTAATCAAAATAAATAAAAGATGAGTAAAAAAGATTCAACTGAATTATTTGTCTAATAATCCACTGATGTATTCATATTGTTACTTGTTAAAGTTTGGGTAATGATTATTATAAAGTATCAGGAACCAGACCTTTTTCTCTCAACCTAGCTTCTTAAAGGCCTCCTCCTTGTAAAAGGGAGTAAACTTTTTTTTAAAAATGGTAGCAAAATTTTATTAAAGGTAGGAAAAGAAACAGGTTCTGCAGAGCAAGTCTGGGCCAAGTAAAAGAAAAGAAGTACAGGGCCAGGTATTTGGATTAGTGGCACTGAGCCTGCCTCACAAGTGCAAGGTCCTGAGTTTGATTCCCCGGTACCAACCCCCTCCCCCCAAAAAAAAACATAAAGAAAGAAAAGAACTGCACCCTACAGTGTGAGGGTGGGCCACCATGCAGAAGTGAAGAATGGCCAGCCAAACGGGAGTAAACTCTTAAAAAACAAAAATCAACAAAATTTTAAATGCAAAAATGGCAGAGTTTACATTCTATACCAGAGCCAGGCTTTTTCCCCATAACCTAATATGGTCCACATTGTTTAGCAACAACAGCTAAATTCAAGATTTAATGTCAACTGCAAAAAGCAAGGACAACTTAGGAAAAGCCACTGAACTGATTTCAATATATCTCGTAAACATTAACTTGAAAATCAATTCTCTGGAGTTATACTGGGTTTTCCCTCTCAACTTTTAAGAAAGATCCCATTATGATGCAACAAAAAAAAAACCTGGATTATTATATAAGAAAACAAAACTAGATAGAGCATAACCTAATGGAATTTAGGAGTGAACACATTTATGTCCCCTGATACTTGTAGTGAGTTTACTTCCAGTGTGATCTGTTAGGAGGACACCAGAACACTAACAAAAAGAACCTGTTCAAAACCGTGTGTATGTCGGGGGGTGTGTGTCAAAGGAAAACCAACATCCCCCTAAGGCACAAATCTTTCTTTATTGGTCTGAGTTTCTTGGTAGTTACAGATTCTTAAGTGATGTTCCTGACTACAAAAGTTAAAAAGACTTAGCTCTGTTCTTACGGGACTGAAGATAGCTGATGACACTATCAGGTAAAGCCAGAAAATGGTCTGAATGACAATATGGAATAATTCAGTCTTTTCCAACAGAAGTGCACTGAGACTAAAGCAATACATATTCATATATAACAAACTTGTTTCCATAAAAATGAATCTGAAAAGAGTATGAGACAAGTTGGCTCAATTTACTGTCAAGTCACAGTGAGCAGGACAAGAAAGACTGGCCTCAGGATTCTCTCTGCTAAAGTCTTTTTGTGGGGCTAAGCACATAGGCTGGTGTGGCCCTGCTTACCTAGAAGGAGAGTGGAAACTTCTTGGCTTGGACCACTATTCCAGAAAAGTGTCCTCAAGGGTCACTGAGGAGCTTGGGGAGTCATTACCCTTCTCATAAGTAGAAGAAGAAAGGGACTGGCAAATAGGGAAGCCACACCTCTATGTCAGGTCAATGGACTTTTGACAGTTCAGTTTGTCTATGTGTCCTCATCGAAAAACAACAACAACAAAAAAAGGCAGCCTTATTTCTTTTTCCTTCAGGTACCAGGGATTGAACTCAGAAACTTGTGCTTGTGAGGCACAAGGGCGTCACTGAGCTATATCCCCAGCCCAAATAGCCTTACTTCTAAAAATACACTATGTTAAAAATAGGTTGCAAGCACAAGGTCGAGTTTGATGCCCAGTAACAAGGGAAAAAAAAAAAAAATAGGGCAGCTACCTAATATCTTTGGGAGTAGAGAACAGTAAGATGGCACATTCATCCAGGTGTGGTGGTGCATGCCTGTAATCCCAGCACTCCAGAGGCTGAGGCAGGAAGACTGCTGAGTTCAAGGCCAGCCTGGGCTACACAGTGAGCTCAAGGATAGTCTGAACTGCAAACCAAGACCCTATCTCAAAATAAAGATAGCACATTCATCATTACAGAACCAAATCAGGGAAAACATTAGAAACTAAAGCCTTGCGGCTCTTGAGTCTACAAGAGCTGTTTTCTGCCTCTTGGTCTCAGACTCTGCTTTGGATGTGGTGGCAACAAGATATCAGTCCCTACAACAGACAATGGCAACCCACAGCCCTGTGGACCAATCCAGCCTGCTGCCTGTTTAGGTATGGCCTATGCACTAGAAATAGGTTTCCATTTTTAAATGGTTAGGGGGGAAAAAATCAAGAGTACTTCATGAACTATGAAAATGATAAGAAATTTACATTTCTCTTTCTATAAGCCAAGTCTTCTTGGAAAAGAGGCACACTCCTTGTGTATGTACAATCCATGGCTGCTTTCATTATACAAAAAACAGAGTTGAGCAGTTGTGACACAGACCTATGCGGCCTTTAAAGCCTAAAATGTTTACTATCTGGCTTTCCAGAAAAAGTTTGCCAACCATTGCCAACTGATGACTAATATTTAGCTGCAAAAAACTAAAGATTCAATATTCAAACAACACACGTAGCCGGGAATGGTGGTGCACACCTATAATCAGCACTGGGAAGGCTAAGGCAAGAGGACTGCAAGTTCAAGGCCAGCTGGGGCCACATAATGAGTATGAGGCTAGCCTGGGCTACACAGTGAGACCCTGTCTCATAAAACCAAAAAATGCATATACCTAACAATGGACTAAACAAAGTTGAAAGAAATTACAAGATGGTCATGAAGTCCCTTGGGGCAGCACGCAGAAGAAAACCGTGACCACCTCACGGTTTAGTGCTCTCCCACTGCTACACTACTACCCAGAGATTCTTCTCTGAACCATCTACCAGTGTACACATTCTCCTCATTCCAGACAGTTTTTCCTGTTTCTATCAGTAAAGTTAACATTTCTATACAAGGTACACAAAGAAGAGGTAAAGTTTGAGAAGGAAGTCAAAATCAGAGTTAAAGTTTACTTTGAGCACTCAAAGACTGTTTTTTCTTTTTTCAAACATCAATGCCAAATCTGTATATCAAATACTACTAAAAGTCAGATTCAGTGCTGTTCTGAAAATCAGCAATTAAAAAACAACCGGTACTAAACAACAACTTGAGGGCCTGGTCAAGGGGCTGAAAAATTCCTGAGAGGCTTCTGTGTGAGGGTCACACAGCACTTACCAACTGGGATGTTGGAGGTGGTCACAGCAGTCGCGTGGGATGAATGGGAGGGCATTGTCATGGTAACAATTGTACTCGTGGGAGCTTGTGTGTGTGACACAGATCCTGAAATGAGGGAGAAAAGGAAATTCTTTAACAAAGGCCTCTCTGCACACATTACAGATTATTTCTGGGGGTGAGTGGGACAGGCTCTTGCTATGTAGTACAGGCTGGCCCTGAACTCACTATGTAGCTCAGGCTGGCCCCAAACTTGCAATCCTCCTGCTGCAGCCTCCTAAGTGCTGAGATTACAGGTGTGTGCCACCACACTAGGCTTACAGATTCTTAAAAGTGTTGGAAAAGCTCTTGAGAAAGGTAAGAGAATTTTTTTAGCCTGTTTTTTTTCTCTGAAGGTGAGAAATGAAAAGTTAGCTCACCACTTACCGGCTGTGGTTGCTGAAGGAAGGGTGTTGGTTGCCAAAATAGGTGCTACTGTTGCTGCAGCAACTGGTGTACCAGTACTGAATATGGTTTTCTGTGGGGAGAACCCCACAACACAGAGTTATAAGCCAGAACATTTCCCACTTCATCCAGTCCTTAAGCTGTGCACAGCACTGGGTTTATCTCATCAAGTACACATACGTTTCCTCAACTCTGGTTTACCTGAGCCATCGTGTGAAGCTGCTGTTTTGGTGTCCCTAATGCAGGGTGAGATGGTAGTGTGATTCTTGTCGTCACATCCCGTGACTGGGCAGGACGCTGAATACTAATTGCTGCAGACGGTGGATGCTGGATAGACAAAGTAGGCCGACTAAAAGACAGAAAGATTTTATGTGACTTACAACTTGCCCACAGACCAGTGTAGGCAGACAAGGCTGTTTACTATCTTGTGCTAGAATCCAGTCACACAACTCATATTTTTTCACTGGTCTGTAAAACCCACACTTAAACTGATAATTGGTCTTAGTCACACCAATGAAGTAAATGACCCCCTAGATTTTTCTCCTAAAACTGTCTCATTCTTATTGTAGATGTTATCAGTATGTACTGAGTAATTCTTAGTGACAATATATTTAATTCACATCTCATAACAATTTTTTTTCTGTGATACCGGGGATTGAAGTCAGGTCCTTGCACTTGCGACATAACAATTTTTTTTTTGGTTGGTGCTTGGAGATGGAATCCAGGGCCTCACACATGCTAGGCAAGCCACTCTACCACTAAGCTACACCCCCAACCCTCTTCAGCAATCTTGAGTGAGCATTACTATAACAATTACACTTCAGTCTATGCGAAAATCTGAAGATGTACAATAAAGTTCTCATATTAGGAAGTTTTGACAAGTTTCCTGGGGGAAACTGACAGAAAACCATGACTAACAGCACCCTAATCTGTGACTCTCAAAACACTGACTTATAGGCTAGGGATTTAGCTCAGTGGTTCCACTGCCTGCCTCTCAAGCGCAAGGTCCTGAGTTCGATCCCTGGTACCAAAAAAAAAACCTCCTCAAAACAAAAAACAAAACACACAAAACACTGACTTCCCCCAATTTTACAGCATTTCTTATTAGAAAAAACATTCTTAAAACAATACAAAGTTACAGTTATGACTGACCAATGACTGAAAAGGATAGCAAGAGTATGTCAAATTATTTGGTAGCAAGTTACTGAAACTTTAACAATGGTAAGAAAAAGTGATATTATAATAAAGTTGGCTTCTCAAATTTGGGGGGGAAAAAGTATTATTTAATAAATGGTACTAGTAAACCTACACAGTCATTTGGAAAAAATAAAATTGGATCCATGTTCACACAGTATACCAGGATAAATACTAACAAAATCAGACTTCGGGCAATTAAAAATGTACGTGTAGGGCCGGAGATTTAGCTCAGTGGTGCTGCCACCTGCCTCAGAAGCCCAAGGTCCTGAGTTCAACCCTGGTACTAAAAAAAAAAAAAAAAAAATGTACATGTAGAAAAGACAACAGAATTCTTTTATAACTTCAGAGCCAGAGAGAGCTTTCTCACTTTTCTCACTACCAAAGCCTCCCGGGACTGGAATGTGACTTGGCAGTATGGTGCTTGCCTAGCACGGATGAGGCCTTGGGTTTAATCTCCAGTACCACACACAAGCTTTCAGAATCCAAAAACTATGAAAGAGTTTCTAGAAATCAAAGAGCAAAATAACAGCTCAATAAAAAAGGGCAAAAGATGTAAACAGTCAGTTCACTAAAAAAGAAAACAAATGGTTTAAGGAAGAAAAGATAATCTGGGCATGGTGGTACCTGCCTATAATCCTAGTGCTCCAGAGGCTTAGGTAGGAGGATTTCTGTGAGTTCAAGGCCAGCCTGGGCTACATAGTGAGTGTGAGGTCAGTCTGAACTACATAGTAAGACCCTGCTCCAAAAAACTAAAAAAAGAAAACAAAAAACAAAGTGGCACATGCCTCTGATCCCAGCAGTATGAAACACTAAGGCAAAAAAAAAAGAGCATGTTCAAGCCTTGGGCAACTTACTGAGACTGTCTCAAAAAAAGAATAAATTGTTTTTAAAAAGTTGGAGACATAGCTCAGTGCAAAGGCCCTGAATTCAATCCCAGGTATGGCTGAGAGGGAGGGAAAGGAACAGGGAGACAGACAGACAGACACAAATACAGAGAGAGAGACAGATAGACAATCTCACTATGTCACCCAGGATGGTCCTGAACTCCTAAACTCAAGGGATTCTCTTACCTGAGCTTCCCAAATTAGCTGCTAGAACTACAGGCACATACCACAGTGCCCAGGTCATTCTCATTCTTCAAAAGAGAAATAAAATTTAAAACACTCAGAGACACCATTGTTCACCCATAAGATTTTTTTTTTTCGGTACCAGGGATTGAACTTCGGTCCTTGTGCTTGCCAGGCAGGCGGTGGAACCACTGAGCTAAATCCCCGGCCCCCCAGTAAGATTTTTTTAAACATAGAGGGAGCGTTACTGGTTATAAACCCCCAGGAAGGTGTTGATGCCCTAAGGATATCAAAATTACAACTGCACATACCCTCTGATCACTTTAGGAGTCTACACTATAGATATACATGCACATATGTGTACTGACAGATACAAGGTTATTCACTGTGATGTTATTTATGAAAATAAAGGGTCAGCAGCCACCTCACATGGATCTATATAACACACTGCTATATTGCTACTAAAAGAAGGATGGAACTCAATTTCTGAAATGAAAAACTTTCAGTACATATTATATGAAAAAAAGCAAAGAGGGATATGTGAATTAAATATTCTTTGGATAAAAAGAATAAAAATAAAAACTGCTTTTGAATCTAACTATATTTGCATGAAGAAACACTGAAAGGATACCCAAAAAGCTATGAACAAATTGCCTTAGAAAGGCAAAGGGCTCTCTTGGGTCTTTGCCAAGGAGACAAGAAAAAAGAACAATGACTGTGCCAACAAGGCCTGGCCATAGACAGCAATTCTCTGCCTGGGAACTGCACGGATATTTGCCAAAGGACAAAGCCATTGGGAAACTAAGTCAACTAAGGGTCGGAGGCATAGCTTATTGGTGAAGCAATTGCGTAGCACAAATGGCAGTAAACTGAAATACAGTAGAAGTCAGTTGTCAGGGACACTTCTGAAGCAAGTGTCTTCAATGCCTATGTGTTCCCAAAGCTGTACTGAAATGACATCACTGTCTGAGATGTGCTACTCACAGCAGGATAGGAATTAATCCTGTAAAGCCCAAAACAAGGACCCCCCCCACTCCCATTTGTTTAAACTTGCTGGAGCTGTCCCACAACCACAAAGCCATGGAAGGAGGTGAGGTCTTTTGGGGGGATGGTAGTTGGGGATTAATTCCAAGACTTTTTTTACTGAGACCCCCTTAAGACAGGGTCTTGCTATATTGCCCAGACTAGTCTCAAGCTTGTAATTCTCCTGCCTCAGCCTCTGGAGTGCTGGGATTATAGATACATGTTACCATGCCTGGCTAAAGTGAGTCCAGAAGGACTGAAGAAAATCTGTCCTCTGGGGAAAAAAATAAAATAGAAATTATAATTTTAAAAAAAAAGAAAGCAAAGAGAATTTAACAGGAACTTAGGTGATGGAAAATATAGGAGAAAATAAATCACTATATACCTTTTATGCTTCTAGTTTGGTACCACCTGAAAATAAATTAGGAAAGGAGCTGGTGGTGTAGGTCAGTGGCAGAGCACTTGCCTAACCTGTGAGTCCTTGGGTGTGATCCAGTTGTATAATACTACAGTCCATACAATAACATACAGTACGTAATACTTGATAATAATTAACCACTGTTATGGTCTCTGCATTTACTACACTATCCATTTCACCTTTACTATAGTGTCCTTCTACTTATTAAAACGTGTACTGTAAAGCAAGACATCATTTCATACTGATAGCAGCTTACCTGAGGTTACTGTGTATATTGACTGTACCAAGAAGCCATGCTGAAGGACTCACCTATCAGACTGTAGGATCAAGCACACTGTAGGAGGTTCACACAAAGATGAAATTGCCTAACAATGCACTTCTTAGAACACATCCCCAGTGCTTTAATGATGCATGACTGCATCATCACAAATGCTTAACTGCATATGCCAAACCAGAACACAATGATATGCTGGGGTGTAATGCAGCCAAAACAACAGAGTAAAGCTCTCCATACTAATCTGGAGTCACCTCTGGAATCTACTGTTAAGAAAGGAATCCAATGTGTGATAGCTAATCTTGTTTGGGTTATCTGGATTGGTCAAGGAGGCATCCCCTGGGGACCACTTTTGGTCCCTGGCCCCTTGCTGTCTGGCTCTTTGACTGCTTTCTGGCTGCCATGAGTTTTGTAGCTTTTCTCTGCCATGATGATTCTGTCTTGGAGCCAACTGACCATGGACTGGAACCTCTGAAACTATGACCCACAATAGATCTTTTCTCCTTTAAGTTGTACACATCAGGTATTTATTTTGTCCTAGAAATGAAAAACTAATACACAAGGCAAGAGAAAAGTACAAATATAAAATCTAAGAATGCAAGAAAGAAATGTGTAAGACTAAATTTAATTTGGAAATCAGTCTACAGAAAAACAGCACAAAAATTATGTCCTAGAAGCAATGAGCACCCCTACCACCCAGATAGTGGGTTTTAAATACTCTTTTCCACCAGAAGGAAACAAGGATCTTGGAGATATGGCTGATTTCAAGACTAGAGAAGGAGAGAAAGTAAGATAGAGCTTAATACACATAACAAGACAAAAAAAGTAGAGCTTCTCACTGGGCACGAGAATGCATGCTTATAATCCCAGCTACCTGGGAGGGTGAGGCAGGAGGGGAACAGTTTGAGGCCAGTCTGGCCAAGTTAGTGAGACCTGCCTTGAAATAAAATATACATGAAGCTCCGTGTTTAATCCTGATACCGCTCCCCTCCAAAAGAGAGAAAGTGGGGGTTTCTCGCCAGCCAAATTTACGGCAAATGGGAGAAAAAGAAAGGGACTTTAAAACATAATAAATAAATGTAATATCCACAGCACCATGGCAATAACCTCTTCTACCAAGAAACAAGGCCAGAGATTAAAGTTGCTTAACTAGAAAGTGCTCCCAAATCTGTTGCCTTAATCCTATATATATTCTCTTTCTCTATCCCTGCCCCACCACCCCACCCACACACACTGGGATTGAATCCAGGGGCTTCACAATGAGATACATCCCTAGCCCCCTTTTTTACTTTTTTTATTTGGAGACAAGGTCTCACTAAGTTGGTGAGTTGCTCAGGCTGGGTTCAAATGTGCAATCCTCCTACACCTTA